ACTGGTTATTGTTTAAGGCAACATAATGCCAACAGATGATAGTTTGGGCATAACAGTTGCCCAGCTGCCATAAAAAGGAAATAACTTAAAAGAAATAAGATGAACCCCTTATAACTTTCAAAGATTCTTTAAACCTACAGTAAATATCTAAAAAATTTTCAGAACTGTATACACTTCCGGACAACAATGCAGCACAGTTGAACTAAACTACAAACATTGGGTCAGAATGTACTGCCAAGAACAGTGCAAATGAACTAGGAGTAGCAGCTGGCCCACACCCTATCTTTCTCGGTCCTGTGGTACAAGGCATGAAGTTAGTGTGGTGTATGCATGGACCAAATCAGACATGGCTGGAAAAAATTCTCCAGTCTCAGGCAGTGGAACAGATGCTCACCCACAACAGATGCACACAGGACAGACAGTCAAAGAAAGGTAACATTCTTGCCATTATGGCCAATGTTACAGCTGAGGTATACTTGTATGCCAGGCATTTAGCAAGCAAAAAGAAATGCTACATATTTGTAAGGATGTCAAGGTAATACTTCTGCAAAAACTCTCTTCTTTTCCATGACTTGCACTTAATTATTTCTTTCTTTCAGATCACACATGTTTTTATCACAACAAAAAACAAAATAGAACTGAGGGGAATTTTTTTCAATGGATCTTAATTTTGCCAAAAGGGGCAGTTTCAGTCATTCTGGAAGCAAATTATTCCTGGGTAGTTTAGACTGGTAAATATTTCTGTAACTGCATGCACAAGAGTGCCAGAGTGAAAGACATTCATTTTATCCAAGACTTCAAGGATTAGGACCCAGATCCAGTGCTCTCCTCCATTTTAGGTTGTGGGTTCATAATACCTCATCTGCAAGGAGAGAGGCCTAACCACTAAGCTATAAAGGAGCTTTCAATTTCTTTTGCTGATACTGTTCTACTTTGTAGAGATAGAAAGAACATTTAATGGAGCAGGAAATGGAGCCTCCCAGAAGAATGCTTAACCACCAGGCTACAAATTCACTGTCACTCTCTCTCAATAAGTTTTTAAGCATCTTACACAAAGTGAAAGAACTCCAGCAAAAGGTACCGAGAGAGACACCACAGAATATCCCATCGCAGTTGGTCTCCAAACCCAGGCTTAAGGGCAAAAACCTTTTTGATGCTGCCCAGGGAAATCAGAATCAAAACTGAGGTTGAAAGCAAGATGAAGACATGATGTTTTCTACAGCATGATGCTTTCACATCATTGTTGCCCACGGACCACCAAAGGTCCACTGCCTTCCAGAATGGTAGTTAGGACTCTTACTGAATAGGTGGATGATTTCAGTTCCAATTCACGACAGGATTCTGAATCAAAGTTGCACTGCCAGAGACTTATGAAGAAATATATGATGTGAAAAACAAACATTTAAAAAGCAACTCTTGCAAGACATGTTTACTACAATTTTTGGACTTCTTGCCCAATTTGTATACCCAAAAGACAGACCAAGAATGAGATTATGGTGCACATCTTTACAGAAACAATAGGAATACCTTCCACTGTGTAATTCCTGGCATCCATTTCAAACCTGGCAACTCAGAAGAGACATCAGCAAGCTCTAAGGCACCTAAAAAGCCAAAAACGTAAATGAAAATTAAGTGATTGTAAAAATATGAAGTGCTGAGAATTTGTTTAAATCGGCTCATGTAGAATGTTTCCAAATGTGATTTTCTAGAAATTATACACCAAGCTAATATGGTGTTTGTTTATTTTTATTTCAAGAAGCTTCAAAACAAGTACCAAATCTAAATTACTAAATATTATGTCCAACTTTTTATATTTCTGGTAAGCTCTTTAAAGAAATTTGCTGACCTTATAGATGGTGAGTAAAGGCTGAAAAGTCAGTGTTACAGTAACATTAAACACTGGGAATAAGAGGAATGATACTCAATAAATTAGGATAACAACAAACATCAGTCTTTTTGTTCGTTAATAGGTAGATTGCTTGGACCAATGAAATCATTCTCTTCGAAGTTATTTTACCTCTGCAGTGACAGTTAAAAATAATGTGGCATATACTACTGCTTTATGGTCTGTTATCTCAAGTGAGAAAAAAAAAAATCAAAGCTTAATTAGAAAGAAGAGGGAGAACAAAGAAGAACTCTTGGCTAATGAGATAAAATGCTAATTTTCAGTCATGATAGGCCAGAAGTCATCATGCCTTAAATCTAGGGGTTTGCTAGCCAACAGTTCATCAACAGAACAGCATTACCAATATGGAACTCATTAATTCGTAAGAAATTTCAAGATGTCCTGAATATGAAAGGAACTTTTTATTATTACTGAGTTGTGTTAAATGAATAATAGTCCTTTAAAATAACACCTGTCCAATTTTTAAATTATAGGAACTCCTAAAAGAACAAGTAAAAGATTAAAGTTATTTTTCATTATTGATTCCACTTGTTTGCTTTGTGCACTCTACAGCACTCTTTCAGTTTGTTTTCCATAGTCAGTCACCTCTCACGTGTGCAGATATTACACAAAAATCTGAAGGAATTTTTTTTTTAAATTTAAAAAAGAAGGTAGAACCACAAAAAAAATCATTATGAGGATTGACAGACAAGGGTAAAATCTAAAACTTGTTTTTCAAAGCTGATTTATTTCAAACTGGTGTCCCTTTGATATTTCTGACTGCATACAGCAAGCTTAAAAAACGTGAGCATAAACTAGTGGTTCTCAGGCTTCTTAGACTCAAGGAACCCCTCAGAAAATGTCAGCTCTTAGTTTTCATTTGCTTTTTTTTTTGGTAGTCAAAAAGAGATCAATTCTGTTGCAAAGAACTCAGATCACAAAAGGTCAGAATGTTTTTGACATTATGGACTCCTTTTTGAAATCTCTGGGTTTATCTTGTGAACCGTGTACGTGTTTGCACCTCAACAGTGCTAACATTGTGCAGCACCCCATGGTGCCATGGAAATGTGGCTGCAGTTTTATGCCAGTAAGTTTCATACAATCATATGACTGGAAATAATATGCCTGGTGCTGTCCACAGAAGCAAACATAAGCAGTCATGTCTGTATAAAAGTATCTCCGGTACTGATATAGGACAAGACTGTATGAATACAAGTCTAAAGGTCAAATCAGGGATGGGCAATTATTTCAGCTGTTGGGCCACTTAATGAGTTTGAGAGTTGTAGAAGGCCACACAAAATCTTTCAGAAGATATCATTTAAAAAAGTTACAGACAAAAAGCAAATCATGTACTAAAAATTAAACTTCTCTCTAAAATATTAAAACATTTCAAAAAATATTTTGTCCCAATTTATGATTTTGTGAGTAATATATATAGAAGTGATTGTGTAACAGCTCAAAATAAAATCTCTCTCTTGTATATTGTGTCTGTATGGGGGGTGAGGGGATATATGGGTGGGTATGTGAATGTGGCAGGGGGGAGCTGGCTGGCAGCAGGGAGAGGGAGGGAGGGGGTGTTTAGGGGGTGCATGCAGCAGAACTAATTCGGGTTGTGTGGTGTGGTCTGCCCCATGATCCGGCCTGTGGCTGCTCCTGCCTACAGCTGCCCCATGCCCGCTGACAGCACTACAGTGGGCCCAGCCAGCACGCACAGCTTCTCACTGCTGCTGCAGTCTTTTGGGTATTACTCATCTTCCCCAGCCTCCAGCAGTTTCTACTAATCCTCCAGCTGTGCTGCTTCAGGCAGGGAAGTGACATTAGCCATGGGGACATGTGCCAGGTATCACACGCCCAGCCAAGCAAGAGGGAAGCTGCAGCTAGGCAGCTCCTGCCCCAGCACATGGAGCTCCAGGTCTATGTCCCAGTCCCCTTCCACCTACCCAGTGCAACAAGCAGCCACCTGCGGGCAGCTGAGTGGGTGAAAAGCGGCTGCCAACTGGCTGGCTCCCAGCTGGAACTTCCCCCACCCCCCAACCCTGACCTGGCTGAGTACGTGGTGCCTGGCACGCATCACCATGGTTGTTACCACTTCCCTGCATTACCAACTGCCTGGAATGGTGCAGGAGAAACAGAAGCAGGAGAAGCTGCGGGAGGTGGGGAAAGCCAAGCAGTACCCAGGCAGCTGCAGCAGCACTGGGAGCAACCCTGCCAAGAAGTTGTGCACACTGGCCAGGACGGTGCAGTCAATGGGTGCAGGATGTCCTGGGCAGGAGTGGGTGGGGCTTGGCCCTATACAGAGCACCATGGGGGCAGCTGCAGGATAGATACAGTCAATTGGATCTGGCCCACGGGCTGCATTTTGCCCACCCCAGGTTAAGACTAACACTCCTCTTAGCTGATTTAAAACAGGAAAGGGAGCAGCTCTACAGAAGCATGCATCAGCTGTAAAGATCTAGTTGCTGGACAACTGTCTATGATCTAACCTCATTGCCTGGCATATAATATCCCTCAAATAAGTCTAGGTTACTTATTATTAACTTGCTAGAACCAATCATTCTTTCATCCTGGCACTGGGGGAAAGTATGGACCAAGAAGCACTGTTTCACAGCTCTGCAGTTTAAGCAGGCTGCTGTCTTATTCTGATATATTCACAGCAGCATAAGACCATGCTCCCCACAGCTGTGCTTAAGGCAGTCACAAGCAGTGTAAAGGTGACAAACCTCAGAATCAGCCAATGCCAGCCAACTTTAACAGTGGGGTTCTGAGTATTAAGAGGGCATATTCTTATTCAATTGTTAGGCTCTGTGTGTTGCATGCTTTTTACAGTAACAAAAACAAATATTTACTTCTGTTCATGCTGAAGAACAAACACAGCTGTCTGAAAGTATCTTGTGCACCTTGTTGGCAGAACTGTTTAAGATGCAAGTTGCATTTGTACAAATCCACGGTGGCAACAGAAGCAAATAGCACATCTTCCCATGTGCCTTCTGAAAGCATCACCTGTCCTGTGACCAGCTGGCCCTAGACTACCCTAACTCAGGGCAATTCCCCCTATTGTGTAAGTTATAGAGGTTTTACTTCATTTTTCTATTAAATATTTAACCAAGAGAGCTCACAGTCTCACCTTGACTTTTCTCCAGCAGAGAGGTGATGACAGCTTCATTTTCAACAGGATTCAGTGAACATGTAGAATAAACCATCCTGCCACCTTCTGCCAGCTGTTCAACACCACGGGTTGCAATTCTTAACTGCAACCTAACAGAAAATTCTTGGTCAAACCAGATACCATGCAAGAACCAGCCAGATTCCCATAATTCTTGTAGAAAACATGCTGTCTAGAGCTGAAACTCTCCTGAAACATCGTAGCTAACTCTGGATGTGTCTATACTGCAAGTTAAATTTAGTTCTGGGCAGGGTAAATAAACCCATGCTGAGCTCTCTACTGCTGCTGCTAGAATGTACCTAACCCAGCTAATTTAATATATTTAACATTTCCTCACTCCTCCTAAAATGCCCAATTTCAGATCATTTTAATGTAAGCAGTCTAGCTTCTGCCTCAGTAATTCTAGCATTCAAATTAACAGTAACCTGAATACTACTAGAAACAGAAACAGTACAGTTCAAGCAAGATGCTGGATTGAAAGTGTATAACCATTCCCACACACCTACAGTAAACCTAGTCTTCTGCATTCTAGAATATTTTTGCTTTAAATGTGTTTCCAGTGGCCCAGACACACACATCAGCAGTGATCCTGGTTTTCTCTGATAAAAAACCCGCAAATTCTCTGATAAAAACCACAAAATCCATGATTAAAATAAGAGGCCCTCTACAGCCCCCACAGACCTGCTGGTGCCCCTCACTCCCCCCTTACAGCCACCCCTGTCTTGCTGGTGCCCCCTGCCCTGCCAGAAGGGGTACCCAGCTGCCAGGGCTATGGGGCCACAGCCCCTGTGCCACTTCCCCTGCTGCCCCCGTGCACAGGGGATGTGTCACCATGGCAGCGCAGAACTCACAGCAGCAAGGAGATCCCTGTGTGGCTCCACTGTTCCCTACAGTGCAGGGTTGCACACACCGGGCTGTGGACACCCTGGGGGAGGGCAGCAGGGCAGGAGCTTGAGCCCACCCCCTCTCCAATCTGGGGGGTGCAGGTACCCCCTGGCCCTCGGGAGTGGGCATGGCAGTGGGGAGCCAGCACCACCCCCACCCCCTGAATGAGCTGCTTGTGGCTCTGCCATGCTTCCCGCCAGGGCCTTGTGGCCATGCATTGCAGCCCCAAGCCCCATGCACTGCCTGGCTGGGCAGCAGGTTCAGCCCCAATCCCAGCCCCGCCCAACTCCCCTTCTCCTCACGGGGGCCTCAATCCCCCCAGCTTACCTATGGGAGCTGCTCTCCAGGCTGCCTGGGGCTATGTGCATTGTGCCCCCTGAGTGACTGCCCTCCTCCCACTCCCTCCCAGGCCCCTGCAAGCTGGAACTCTGCCAGCCTGCAGAGAGCTCATTACAAAAAAAAAAAAAAATCAACAGGTTTCTCTGCTAAAATGACAAATCCGCATTTTACTGTGGTAAGTGGGGAAATCCATGTTTTACTGTTTTTCCGTAGGAAACGGAAAATCTGGATCCCTGCACATCAGCTACCTAGTCACACTAGAAAACAAACATGACTATCCAGTTGGACTAAGTTATCTTCCTCAAAACAGGGAAAACAGCAGCAATCTGTCATGTTGAAAAACATGTGAGAATACATCTGCACAAAGGCAGGCTGTACATGACCAGCCACATCTAAATAATTGTGAAGGGTTTACTACATCAAAATAATTTTATATCTCAACATTCAGAATTGATAATGCTCAATTTCTTAAAAGATTACAATTTACCAGAGAGACTTCAATTTAGTTTTAAAATGACTTATTGAACATTGGCTATCAAGCTGCAATGTCAAACACTCCCACCCACATTTGTTATTTTACTGCAATAGATGGGACGTCAAATCACTTAGATTAAGACAAACCTGTGATTCATATTTCAGTACCAATACCAACACAAGGATTCCACCAATATTCACGTTTGATACTCTGGATTTTGCTTGGGTTTTAGTATACAAAACAGCTACTGCCATTCAAGCATGCACTCTTGCCCATGGCTTCCAAATCCCCTCCTCTCCCACCTGTCCCCATGCTTAGCAACCACAACCTAGTTCCCCAATAATTCTGTACATTTAGATTCATAAGTCAATGAATACTGATACCTGTTTGGTATCATATAAGAATACAAACGAAGTCTGGATTCACCCTATCCTTACTGTAGCCTAATTTCAAATCTGAACAATCATCCCATTCCCAGAAGAAAGTACAAGAATATTAGCTCTTCACTGAAGAAAGAAGCGGCAGTATTATATAACTTGTATTTCATCACACTGCTATGTTAAAGAATTATTCTTTTCCCCCCAAACAGATACAAGGATTATAATACGCCTTTTACCCATGCAACTGCAAGCTATTTTGCGTTGTCCATTTTTTCCACACATCAATGTTTTTTCTCATGGTTCCATCTCCACTGCAATAGAAGTTTGCATGTTAATTCATATGCAAAATATTAAATTTATCATCTACCTTTGGTTATCTCCTTAAAATACTTCTAATTGCATTTCTCTGTTTTTAAGTCAAAGAGGCTAACCACAGGGGATTCTATTTAAAAAGGGCCCTAAGCCTCTTAAAGGCCTTATTCTAGCATCTAGCATTAACCGCTATGACAGTGGAATAAGATTCAGCTAGCACTTGGCATTTCCACTAAAATCTGAGAAAGTTGAGTTAGAATTATTTGTAATTATTCCATTAGAGAGTAAAGAACCACAATATAAAAAACTTACTGGGATTTAACAGTTAGAAGGCATGACTAGGTTTGTTTTTGTTTTGGGGGTTCTTCTGTTTATTTTTAGGAAGCCATACACTTCATTCTTAAAAAGAATACAGCAAAATAATCAAGTATTTCATTACTAGTATATTAAGACCCAACTCTTCAGTCACTTCAGTTGGCTAGTTCTGAACACACGTGCAAACCTGCACTAAAGGATTTGCAATCCAATTTCTATCTTATGCCGAGATATAATCTTACCAGCTGCTCACTTAAACACATACTTTGTTGTCTACCCTGAGCAAGACCAACAGTTTAACTCTTATGTCTGAGCAACAGGAGAAAGTCAGGAGGGAAATAATATACAATAAAATCTCAAGAGACATGGGGACTACTAAATAAAACAATTCACTGTCCATCTTCTTTAAGACAGGTAAATAAGCGTTTGGCAACCAATCAAAATATAACACAAAAATCAGCCAGAGAACAACAGTCCCTTTGAACAATTTCAAATACAAGGACAAAGTGAGCAGGTGTTAACAGAAGTAATTCCACTCTGAAAGAGGCTCGTGGCATTAGCACCTTCTTTTTTTAGATTACTCCAATTCATTTTTACATTTCAATTCCTTTCACTCAACAAGAACAAAAGACAGCTGAGACAGAGGAATGGGACTCTACTCCGGTTCATATACTACAAACAAAATTGGCAGTATGGACATAAATTTACGTTTACAGCATTTAAAGTTTTGCCAAAATAAGCTCTTCATAGAAGAATCTATGAAAAATAACTTAAAAATGTTTAATAAAGCCTTACACTATTTTAAGGAACTATTGCAGCACCAAGACCCCAACTATGAACAAGTGAAATAAACTTAACTGAATCTTCATTTCATGGGTAATATAACCATAAGTTATAGTTGCACTGGATTACAAAAACTGTACTTGTCAATAATCTAAGGCATAAAGGAAAACAGGCATGTGTTTATGTTTTAGAAGTCCTGTAATGATGACTGAACTGGGAAGAACTGTTGGACTTTCAGATTCCATGCCACATTGACAGAGTTGGAAGAAAGGTTTGCTTTTAAAATCAAGTAGCTTTAACACCAAAAATCAGTGCAATGATAATAAAGGAACTCCAAAATGCAAAGTTTGGAAAATTACATTTTAGACCGAAGAGCACTTTAATGCTCTAAAAGAAATTACACATACATACAATTCTATTTGTTTCTGTTAATCCCCAAACTACAAGGATAAAAAAAAATGTCTAGCAGACTTCTGACATCTCTCTGCACACATCTTGATCCATTAAGTGAAGCTAAGTACAAACAGGAGTGAGGCAAAATGTGCTTTTCTTAATCCCCTTGCATAATCTGATTTAAAAGAAGAAAGAGCATGTTTGAAAATCCCTATGTTTGAACCCTGCCTCGTTAAGCAGAAAAAGCAACAAATCAACAGTAAGTTTATGTTGCAAATAATACAATTTTTTTTGCATAAAATAGTAAACACAAGATACCTGCAGGGAACATCACATAATATCCTGTCATAGAAAAGGATTTCCTTTTTCCCATTAACATCCATTTGTAGATTAGGAATGCTGGAGGCATCATGATTCACCACCATGATGCAAGGGCTGTTTAACCTCTTAGCTTGATGAACCAGCAAATAGCAGCGCTTGTTGTCAACATCATTAGCAATTACAAATCCCTCTGGGGATAGAACACATAAAATTCACAGGTTAAAATAGAAACAGCTGCATCTTCCATTATAATACAGGAGTTCATATCAAGGCAATCCACTGAAAAGATACAACAAAAATAGGTATTCAGAGGCCAAAAAAGGAGGATTATTTTATGCCTTACAATTCATTAAATATATTGTTTGCTCTCTTTTTCTTTTGGTTGCATAAACTGTTTGCCTCTTTCTAGAGACTTCCATGGAGATCAGTATTTATTTCTATAGGTTGAAATGTTAAGCTGTGTCAAAATAATCCCTATAAAACCAAAAAAAAAAAAAAAAAAAAGCACCTCTGAAGGGTGGAGTGGTCTGTTAAAGACAGAAACAATAAATTCTGGTGCTATGCAGCTGAAATAAAAGACTACACAGACCTTTAGCACAGAGACAGTATGATCTAACCCCTGGCAAAAAAGGCAAAACTTCTCTGCTGGAAAACAGCTTGCAAGCAGCCAAACAGAATACCCCATACGATTTACTGTCTACAGCAGTGGTTCCCAACCTTTTTTTGCCATGACCCACTGCTAGAAGCAGAGTGCAGCAGTGGTGGTGGCCCAGAAAAGCTCCCGGCATGCGGCACAGCTCAACCTTTGTGTGCGGTGCTGCCGGCATTGCCCCCACAACCCTCGTTTGGGTCACAACCTGAGGTTGGGAACCACTGGTCTACAGGCATCAGAATGAAGATAAGCATTTTGAAGTTAAAAAATAAAAAAATAAAAGGAGGGTGGGTTCTTAAAGTGAAGGATTGGTGCAATTTAATCTAGCATCTATAGGAGAGCACTAAAACGAGCTAGCAAGGTCCTATCCACAAAGCTCAGACTAATTAAACAAACAAACAAAAAATCTAATCAGGTTTAATGTTACCACAACTCCTCTGCAAGTGTATAATCCACATCTCCTCTTTGAGCCACTAAGTTTTAAAGACAACCTGCAGGTAACTTTAACAAGCAAATAGTTGGATGTGTGCCACGATGCCTCAAAGTAGAAGCCGATTAAAGAGGTCATTTAAAAGTCTGAGCTTTGTGGA